ACGGCGAAACGGGGCTCTCTCCATCAGGTGCGGTCTAGCGTTCGCCGACTTGTCGTGAATGCCCCAATTAACCAACAACGCCTCATTGCACATTGGACTGTCGCGGCTTGCCCAAGAGCAGCGGCAGCCACATCCCGGAGAAGTCAACAACATGAGATGCTGTTTCTCGCAGAACCGGGAGATGAAATGGAATGCCGCCCTGCAAACTCTAGATGCCGTGACACAATGGTAAACAATGGAGGTTCTCCACTCGGCATTATCGTCAATCGTAGATCATGAGCTCGAGCGACAACATTGTGTAGCTTGGCGAAACGTCGCAAGTCGCATCATGTTATGTGAACACTTGAGTCATCAGACCATGCGCGCGGCAAGATGAACAGAAAAGAAAAGAAACAACACGGAAAATAAAAATAAAGCAATTGCGCAAGAAATAATTGGCAGTGACAATGGAACGCAGCTTGGCCAGATGCGGGTGGCTAAGCCATGTCTCGATGACGGCCATCCGTCACGGAAGAGGGGAGGGGACGCCGCCCATGATTCAAGTGCCGCAATAGTCATTCTTGGTACCTGAACATCACACCCTGATTCTGCACAATGTCTCGAAGCAAAACAACGGTGGTCTCGTCCCGCGAGGCTCAGAAAGGCCAGGCACAGCAAGGGGGGGTTGGACGGCTGGGCGGAGCGCGGCCAAACAATCGAGACCTGACGAGCGGTGCTATGGAATGCGACCGCGGTCTGCGAATTCGCTGTCGCGGACGAGGGCTCCGTGGCGTCGCGAGCAAGTGGTGTTGTTTTTCAAGTTCGCGATGGCATGGATCGGAGACCCTCGAGGAATGGCTCTGTCTTGGAAGGCGTGCGCCATTGGTAAAGCCAAGAGAGAACGAGGCCTCGTCCTTTACCTCCCGGCATCCCGCCACTACGGGTCGACTGAGCAGTTTGTCTGTACACACGGAAATCTCAGCTTCGTCGTCGGCCAGCAGTGGACGCATCTGAGCATCTTGACGTAAAGTGGGAGAATTGAGGGCATCGTCGTCAACGCCGATATGTTACGCAAGCCCGCCAGATACGGCATTGTAAAGCCGATGAGGGGGAGGGTCTTGGTCGGGCAAGGGCTCAAAGCATGACTCTCTCTGCCACGGGCCTTTAGAAGGCCTTTCAAAGGGCTTCCCTGTCGTGAGCGACGCAACTTGCAGGCCAGGACCCAGAAGGCTGTCGATGTTTCAACGTTTCAGGTGGAAAGATACTGCTTGTTACTTGTTAGTGGTTGCACAGCCTTTTGCTTTTTACCTTAGCGCAGATCGATCGTATCCTCCGAAATTGGGGTGGATTTGCGGACGTCATGGTTGAAATGAGATTTAAGAAATCGCACGGTCGAAGACGCACAGCCCAAGGAATATATGCGGACGGGTAGGGGTCTCCTGCGCGGACTCAGGTACGCAGATACGTCCTAAATGAGATTGGCCAGCACGCGTCTTTCTTTCTTTCTTTTTTTTTTCTTTTTTTTTTCTTTTTTTTTTTCCTGCTCTCTTTTCCTCTCGAATTCTTGTCAATGTCTCGGTCCATGGATGTGTATTGTGGTCGTGACCAAAGCTTGATTGGATATCCATGTTTTATTGTTCGATGCCTTGGCGCCAGCAAACCTGCTGCGGCAAAGAGAAGACGACGGCGATTTGACGGGAGGTAAAATCAGAAGCAATGGAAGCAGACGCTTGAGAAAATCCAGAGCAAATGAGGTGTGGCAGACAACAGAGACGACTCTCAGGCAACGGGCGACTACCGAAGCCCTCGGCTTGGTCACCTAATGAGTTGATTTCCCTTGGCTGATCGCTCGGCCCGTCTGTAGCTGTTAAGACAAGGTATTTCTGGTGGCTTTCATTGTTATTGCCCAGGTGTCTGTGGCTTCTGCTTCTTCAGCGTTCTGGAGAAACATGCTGGGCACCCGCTGGCGAAATGACTGACAGGCGCGGCCGATAAGCCGAAATCTCTCCTGTTCCCCACCCCTTTATTTTTGTGGACGACCCGGGGCTTCTGGGAATTGAATATTGGATATCGGGACATTGGGTGACAGACGCCGGCGCAGCTCATGAGATTGTGTCATTGATTGGTTATTTGGTGGGGTATGTGAGGAATCGTCGTAGACTCCGACCTGAGTTCAAATGAGCGAGCGAGACCGCCGCAGTCGGCCCAGGCTAGCAAGATCTGCAGGCCATCGTGTTTGTGCATCATCTGGACGGGCTGCAGGACATTTGCTGCCTGTGGCAGGAAACGTATTCTTTAGCCTGCAGTGCAAAAGAGGGAAGAATAGCAACACCGGTCAGCCAGTGTTTTTTGCACGACGCGGACATGTGCATGGATATGCACGTGCATTGAGCGAGGGCAAGACATCGCCAATCTGACTGATCTCGAACCCATCCATGGCCTGGGGCGCTCGTCAACAGACTGATGAGAAAGTGTCTCCTGACGGTGAACGATTCACGAATAGGGGTGGCCAGGGCCCAGGACAACAGTCGTTCCTGCGCCGATGGTCAATGGTCAACGGCTACGTCGCTTAGAGCCGAGCCTCGTATGAGCACTTGGCGGCTAGCGCATGGTAGCTGCAGCAGAGCGTGGAGAGGAGCCGGGCTCGAACAATGGAAGATAAAAAAAGACCCATCAAAAAGGAGACCACGGTCGAGTGGGCTGGCTCAACAAGGCATAGGTTCCTGGGGAACAACAATGCTATTCCCTCCAGATGGAGATTGGGAGGTGACGACGACCACGGCTGCCGCGACGACGACGACAACAGCGACGGGCGACGACGACATGAAAGCGCGAGGGTGACAGGTGTGCTAAAAGGCTCGATTGGTGATGGCGGCTGGGAAAGATTGATTGCTGAGGAGCATCGAGATTTGACCAAGGCCAATCAATTGCTGGTCAGCGACGGGCAAGGATAGATTTACCTCCCCCAGGGATCTCTAATTAGGCCAAGCGAATCTGATTCGACCGCTGGTGGTCGAGGGCCGTGGAGAAGACCAACGAGGAAAACAGAGCCGTCTCTGATGGACAGGGCGACGGGCTGGCTGTGTTGCTGCGTCGCATCCAGCAGGGTTGGGATGGATCCAGTCGCTGTCGCATGCACTGGCAGTGGTGATCTTCATTCGGCCGACCGGGCCTGTCGAGATGGGCAGACTGTTTTTGACCAGTTGACCGCCGCAAGCCGGCTTTTGCTCCTCGAAGCGACGAGCGACGAGCGACGATAGGGGCTGGTTGGGTGTGGTTATGCAGCCCGCCGTTGTCGAATTTCTGGTGAAGATCATTTCAACCCTTTGATGTAAGGGAGCAGGCGAACCAGACTTTGAGTCTGTCTGTGTGTGCGGCAGAGAGAGGAAGAAAAAAATAAGGGAGAGCGGCAAGGTCGCGGCAACGAGAACCGGACAGCAAGGACGGTGGCATCCGTGGGTAGGTAGTACCCGATGGCGGGCTGTTGATGGTTTGGTTCGGTTTGGTTTCGTTTCCCATTTTCTTCCTTTTCTTTTCCAGTTTCTTCTTCTCCCGTGTCATGCATAGGCTGTTATGTGCGTGGGTGTACGTGCTAGAAATAGGTAGGTTAGATTAGGTAGCTGCTGTCAGTTGGGATGAACCGCACGCGCACAGCACAACAGCATGCAACTCAATGCGTGAGTGACCTTCGCCACGAGGCCCGGGTCGTGTTCGTGCCTTGGCTGGCTGGCTGGACCTGGGAAAATCAGCAGGATCGGACGACAGCGACAGAAACAGGTGGTGTTACACATGGCTATGAGCAGCACAGGCGTCTGCGACGGGGAGTCTCCCTGGGGCACCCGGGGCGGGAGCTGGGAGGGATGTCGCGGGCAGTCCTGCGGTGCGCATCAACTCAATTATTCCCGTCCAGCATTGGTCTTCATCGCATCCTCGTACGACGGCTCCGACTTGAATTCGCGCCTTCCCTTCTGGTCTGCTCTGCCCTGTGCCTGTGCCTGCCAGTTCGGTGCTGCCAGGATCCCCCAATCTTCGTTCACGTGCACGGTGCGGTGCCATGCCCAAGGCAAGGTAAATAAATGGAGGCAGGAACCATTCATTTAATTGCCCAGGGCCGCTAGTCTTGTTTGGGAACGTCCCCTTCAACCCCCTTTCTTGCCCTTCCGGGGAGGCGCGCCAACGGCGTCGACTCTCCCCCAAGCCCAAGCCCAAGCCCACCTCAACGTGCAGTCCCTCCCTCCCGGGGGCGCGCCTCTGGGCGACGTTGTGCCTGGCCCGTCCTCGCAGGCAGTTGGCAAGCCCTGTCCGTACCTGCAGCGGATCGTCTTCTTCTGCTAATAGCGCCTGGGGGTCCGGGTGGCTTGTACCTCATGTACCTGGTCTCCTAATTTCCCAGGGGATCCACGACATGGCCCTCTTTACCCTGTTTTCCTCCACTTCATCCTCTCCTTCTCCCTCTTCTCAGCTCTCCGGTCTTCGAGGTCTGACTTCTCGTTCACCGCGTTGATTCCTCCAACTAGAGAGTTCGCTCTCACTTACACTCTTTTGAATCTAACAAATTCACCTACATTCGTTACCTTCAACCACCTACACGAGTTCCGCCTCGACTCCCGCACACCGACAACCACAGCGAATAGAACGAAACATTCGCTCCGACTCTAATTGATCCCTCGCGAGGAATAATAAAGGGTAAGAACACACAGAGACACAGAGGAGAGACCCCGGGGATGAGCTTCAGACGATTCTCGGCCATGGCGCCGCACAATGGAGGACATACACAACACCACAGCCACCACAACAACAACTACAGCGAAGATGATCGACTGTGTCAGCGACCAGGGGAACAAGACGGCGAACGCGATTTTGTTGGGAGGGTATCGCACGAAAGCCTCTGGATATCTTCGCTGCTTGCGCTGCGCTGCTTCACTGTGTCGATTCTCCCTGAATCGCCGACTTACAACAACATGATTTAAGTGCACGATGCGCTAACACATGGCGCTTCCAGAACGTCTTCAATATACAAAATGAGGTCCATCGTCAGCCTCACCATCGCGGCCTCCCTGGCCGCCGGTGTCGTCGCGCAGCCCCACAACCACCGACACCGCCATGTCAAGAAGGACACCGCTTCGCCCGTTGAGAAGCGCGACCCCGATGTCGTCGTGGTATACGAATCCGGCCCGACCGTGACCGCCTACGAGCTCGGAGGAAAGGTCATCAGCGAAGACGAGGCCAAGCAGGGCATCAACGACGGCCTGTTCGTTGTCGTCGGAGAGACCACCCCGTCCTCGACGCCTCTGCCTCCCGCCTCTACCTCCAAGGCTCCCAAGCCGTCCAGCTCCCAGGATGCTCAGTTCTTCGAGGCTAAGGTCGCCAAGACTACTTCCACCTCTACCACCCCTACTCCCACCCCGACCCCGACCCCCACGCCCTCTTCCTCGAGCCAGGCGCCTCCCGCCTCCACCTCATCCGCCAGCAAGGGCGGCAGCTCCTCTGGAGGCTCTGGCGTGAACGCTGAGTTCCCCAGCGGCGAGCTTGACTGCTCCACGTTCCCGTCCGACTATGGTGCCGTCCCCGTCGACTACCTCGGCACCAACGGCTGGACCGGCATCCAGAGAACCCCCAACTACAGTATCGGTGACCTGGCCATCTCCTTCATCGAGACGGCTGTCTCTGGCGACGGCGGATGCACTAAGAACTCTTTCTGCTCGTACTCCTGCCCTGTTGGCTACCAGAAGACCCAGTGGCCCTCCGCCCAGGGTTCGACCAAGCAGTCCGTTGGTGGACTTTACTGCAACGCCCAGGGCAAGCTCGAGCTCACCCGCACCTCCAAGAAGACCCTTTGCGAGAAGGGCGCTGGCGGCGTCTACGTCCAGAACGACCTCAAGAAGTCTTCCTGCGTTTGCCGTACCGACTACCCCGGTAACGAGGCCATGGTCATCGCCACCGTGCCTGAGCCTGGCCAGAAGCTGGAGCTGACCAACCCCTACTCTCCCGACTACTACGTCTGGAACAACAGCCCCACCACCGCCCAGTACTACGTCAACAACCAGGGCGTCGCCGTTGAGGATGCCTGCGTCTGGAAGAGTGCCACCGACCCCCTCGCTGCCGGTAACTGGGCTCCCGTCAACATTGGTGTTGGCAAGAGCGCCGACGGCAACACCTACCTCTCCATCTTCAACAATGCCCCGACCTCGACCGCCAAGCTCGACTTCAACATTGAAATCACTGGCGATGTTAACAGCAAGTGCGCGCTCGTCGACGGCTCCTACACTGGTGGTGGCACTGGCTGTACTGTAAGTTGAACACCCGCTCGTGATATCTCGATTTCGCATATGCTGACAGCGATTGTTTAGACGGCCATGTCCGGCGACGGCACTGCCATCATCCGCTTCTACTGAGCGAGCCACGACCAGGGATTTCCTGGCGAGGTTTTTGGGCATTTTGATTCTCGTGAATACCTCAAAGAATATCGACGGATCGCCATGACACGACCGCGACCAGCGGATTGACTAAAGACCTGATTTCCGCACACGATCTGTGATGGCCTTTTTTAATTGATTGTGCATAATATTCATGTTGTGGAGAAGGGTTTGGAGAGGAAAAGTTGGAGTGATTGGAGGCGAGGTCAACAGCCTTGCGGCCTTCACCGGCCAAACGGCGCAATTGGAACTACCCCCCGGGAAACCCTTTGAGCGAGACGGACGGTCATCTCTTTTTCTACCAGCAAGCGGACCAATGCCAACGAATTACGTTCCTGCGACGACGACTGCTTCGAGAACGAGGCACACCTTTTTGCGCGGAGGAGGAAACGGAGGAAGCCAGGCCGACCTTACTGGAAAGCAAGATTAAATGGAGAATATGATGATGGATACTCGACTCGGGTAGTTTGCATAAGAATGGACGGGAAGATTGGGGAAGGACAGAACGGTAGCCCTCGCCGGCGCATTACCATCTTGACGCATCGTTTCCTTTGTCGCTGTTTGCCCTGCCATGCTTATATCCTTTTGCGCGAGCGGTCTCATGATGGATGAGCACAGCCCGCGGGCGTTGGGGGGACCCTTATAGCCGCTTCGTGTATTGCCGACGCAACGTTAGTTTTTAATTCATTGCTCACGATCGACCTAGCCTCTTTTTTTTTCCTCGCGTCTTCCATCGAAGCAGCGAGTGATGCGCCGCTTCGGGCCGATGTGTGGTTGAGAGTAGAGGTTGAAATCTCGGAGCTGCAGGTCGGACGTCGCCGGTCAGCCGCCGCCGCAACTCGCCGACGCCGGCCGGCCCACATCAGAACCCGGCCATCGCCAGGCCTAGAGCAGTAAGGCAGGTAAGCCCCCCCGGATCCGGGCCGAAGTCGCAAACAGGCGCCCATCTGAGAAGATGGAGGGGTTCAGAGTTTTCAGCCGTCGTTTTCGGGCAACGCTCAAGTAGTACCAAGCCCGGAGATAATGGTCACGGGTAAGACTGCTGCTCGTTGGCGGCGCCAAATGACTTGAATACTCGATGGCATTATGTAAAACGGTTTTTACCAGCCTTTCGGCATGGCTTGACGGATCAGATTGAGCCGCTTTGGGTACAAGCGGCATCTCGAAATGCGGGAGCCAATGAGTTGAGTAGAACCGGTAGCCACTGATGCCGCTGGCTGTGCGCCTGGTGGAGAATCCGCCCCGGAAGGCATGGGTATCGACTTCCACACTGCAAGCCCACTATCTTGCCGCCGTTGGTTTGCCCCGGCCACTTACCTGTATGTCCAGCAGGGAACGACGCCGGTGAACAAGGAACAATTTGAATTTTTCTCCTTCTCTCTGATGTCCCAGCCGGACTGGCAGGCCATCGGCGAACAGCGCCTGTGTTGGCAGCTGGGCACGGGTTGGGCATCTAATTCATCTGTTCTCCAGCAAGACAATGGATCTCCAAATCTCCAAATCGTCAAGCCACAGCCGAGCCGGCCGGGCCCATGCGGACCGTCATGTGTTGGAGACCACATGACGAAGTGATCCCTCTTCCATTCATCCATGCGCGCGTTCGTCATCCCAGGCGGTTGTTTGGACGGGACAATCCCCCTCAACACAGCCCGCACAAGGAGAGCAGTGCTGGGCAGGCCAAGCGCAGCGTCTGATCAAGTCCAGGCTAAACAAAGCGGGAGCAAGTGAGGGGAAAGCAACACCAGAAACGCGAGCAGCAATGCATCTGGATTCGCTGATGACGCCTTGGGTGGTTCAGCTTACACCTTGCCATTGGCAAATCTATTTCTCTGCTGCCATTGTCCACCTCAGTCTTCTTCCACCTTTTCACTCCCTTGGCCCCAGTTGAATTTCTCCAAGCTTGCATTGCATTGCATCGCATTGCAGTAGCTCTCGCAAGGAAGAACAAGTCCATATTTTTGACCATCAGCCCCCACCCTTCCGGAGCTTCTCTGCGTTGCCACCTGACTGCTCTCGTCCTCCGAGAAACCTTTTTCTCTTCAGGCGTAACATTGATTTTTTTTCTTCCCCTGGCCGACCGGCAACCTACTTATTTCTTCAGTACCCGTTCCCCTTCCTCGCCTGGTCCCACGATCATATTGCACCTTGTGCCACCTAGACAGCGGAATCCCTGTTTCACCCCGCATCTTTAGCCCGACTGTCGATTCAAGTTCGCGAGACAGCTCAGCCACGATAGACCTAGGTGCCATCAGTGACACAGCGGCAGCCTACCGGCTTCTGGTCGCATTCCGCGCCGTTCTCGAAGAGCGCCTCACATAGACAATCGAGGCTCGCTGGGAATTCTACGTCGTCTCGAAACCTGTTGCTTCCCGGGCGCAGCAATCGTCGCCATGTCGCTGAATCGCGTTGCCTCCGTCGAGACATTCCAATTCCTTCCTCCAGGCCAGAGGTCGAGGCGAGGTAGCGATGCCTCCAGTGTACGGGCTGGCAGGCTGAGCTTCAACCCTCTGCCCGACGAGTGGGATCCTGCCGCAGCCAAGCCCGATACCGTTCACGCTGTTGGAGCCTTTGAGGTCCCACAATGGAAGAGAATCCGTGAGTTCCGCGCTTACATGCGCATCCAGCCGACGACATGTAACAATTGTCTCTTGGAAGAAGCAGCCGCTGACCGCCCGCACAGTCCAAGTTGCCGTTTCTGTTGTCTACTGTCTCTTTGCCGCCGGTGTCGCCTTTGGCTTCGCAGCGCTGAAGCCGGTCCTTAAGCGTGAAGGTGCTTACAGCGACATCTGCTCCGCCGATGATCCCGGCGCGTCCCCGGACGACACCTGCGTCGAGATTCATCTTAACCTGATGTTCACGGTGGCAGCTGTCGGTACCAACGTTGCTGCCCTACCAGTCGGCGCCATCCTCGACCATTTCGGCCCCCGAGTATGCGGCATCATTGGGAGCATGTTTCTGATTTTGGGCTCTCTTCTGATGGCATATGCCAAGCGGCTGCCTTTTGATGCTTTCCTGATCGGATACCTATCGCTTGCGCTGGGAGGTCCGTTTACGTACATTTCATCCTTCCAGCTCTCCAATGCGTTCCCCAGGCACTCAGGCCTCATCCTCGCCCTTTTGACGGGCGCCTTTGACGCTTCGAGTGCCCTGTTCCTAGTGTATCGCTTGATCTTCCAAGCAACCGACGGCACGTTCGGCCACGACAAGTTCTTCATGGTGTACCTGATTGTGCCAGTGTTGATCATCGTTTTCCAGCTCACGCTTATGCCGAAGCAGTCCTACAAGACGGTTGGAGAATTGGTTGAACAACAGGAGGAGGCTGCGGCGGCCAGCGATGCCGACCCGAGCCCGTACGATGACCAGGTCGACGAGACCACGGCTCTGCTCCGCGAAGAGCGCCGCCAGCACCGCGACTCCGTCGTGGCTGACATTGAGCAACTCATCGGCGCCCAGAAGGCGGGCAAGCAGCCGCGCCACGAGGCGAAGAAGAACGAGATTTCGGGAGTCTGGGGCGTAATGCACAACCGGACGGCTCTGAGGCAGATTGCGTCTCCCTGGTTCATCCTCATCTGCCTGTTCACCGTCATCCAGATGCTCCGTATCAACTACTTTGTGGCCACCATTAGGTCACAGTACGAGGTCATTTTCGGAGACCACGACAAGGCCGTCCAAATCAACAACTTTTTCGATATTGCCCTGCCTGTTGGAGGCATCTTGTCTATCCCGTTTATCGGGGTGCTCCTTGACCACACGAGCACCGTCACAGTGCTCTCTGCCCTCGTGACCATTGCCACAACCATTGGCGTTTTGGGCGTCATCAACAACGTCTGGGCGGCGTACATCCAGATCTGTCTCTTTGTGCTCTACCGCCCCTTCTACTACACTGCGGTGTCGGACTACACCGCCAAGGTCTTTGGCTTCGAGACGTTTGGCACCGTGTACGGCACCATCATCTGCCTTTCCGGCCTCTTCAACTTCTTCCAGTCAGGCTTGGACGTCCTGTTCCACGAGACGTTCGGAGGCGATCCCGTTCCTGTCAATGTCATTCTGCTCTCGGCCGGCTTCGCCGTTGGTATCATGATGGTTGGATACGTTGCTCTTAGGGCGAGGGGGTTGAAGCGGAAAATGCTGGAACAGGAAGCCGAATCGGCTGTTGGCTACAACTGATGGTAGGGCTCGTGACGGATGTTTCCCTTGAAACATCGTTTGCTTCATTGGCGCTTTTGTATCATCGCATGGCCTGCAGGTGTCGAGGAAATTTGTCAACGTATGAAAAGTTGTCTCGTATATTCTTTCGTGTGTGAGAAAAGTAGGTACAGGAATTAAATCATGATTTAGTCATCCTCATTCGTCATGTCTTGTTCCGCCCCAGCCATTGATGCTGTTCCATCCTATCCATCAAAAGTAGGCGTCTCGAAACGGCCGCCCGTCGTGCCCAAGCCGCAAAACTGTCCCCAGCCGTCAACCTGCTCGCTCGCGTGCTTGATGACCTCGCTGAACCCTTCGTTGCCGTTCTTGTTGACGCAAAAGTAATTGTAGTCGACCTGGCTGATGGCGACGCCGTTCCTGACGCTGAGGGGGTACTCGATCTGGAACACGGGATGGCCGGCGGCGATGACGGGCTGGAACTCGGAGCAGAAAGGCTCGACCTCGTCAGAGGTGCGGGTGCCCAGGCACGTCTCGAGGACGGCAAAGTCGACAGTGGAAACCAGGTCCGGGGCGATTTCGGGCGCGTTCTTTTGGCCAATCATGAGGGCCCGGCCTTCCTGCGTGGTGAGGGAGTGGGCGTGGGATGCCAGAGCCTTGAGGTACGAGGCGTAGTCGGAAGCCTTGAGGTTGAAGCCTGTGGGGTCCTCGTCGTCCTTTTTTATGTCTGGTTAGATAAAGTGCTCTCTCCACATGGGCAACATTCCAGTGCTTACCTGAGCCCAAGCATCAATGTTGTCGGGATCAACACCGTCGCAACCGAGGCTTGCGGCCAAGTCGAGACGCGCCTTCATCACGTCGATGACCTTGCTGTTCCTGATGTCGAGGTACCTCTCGTCCAAGTAACCCTCAAGGGGCTTCTGGATAGCTTCCTCCGGAAACTCGGCGATATCGTTGTCCCAGTCCTGGACTGCACCGCCGTTGAAATAGCAGATGACAATCTTCCCAGCAGCCTGCGGTCATGGATTAGTCAATACGTTCTCTTTGGGGTGAGCTAGAAGGGAAGAGTATTCACCTTGAGAGTGGGAATCATGTCCCGGTAGGTATCAGCATGCTGCAGGTCAATATCCCATACATCGGCGTTGGCGGGCACGATGTCGGCGGTGCTGTCGTGCTTGATGGGCTCGTGGAGGATGATCTGGAACGACACGCCGGGCTTCCACTTGCTCCAGTCAACTGCGCGGCGACTGAGACCGGCTGACGGCGTGGCGAGGCCGAGGATACCGGCCGGCGCCAGAGCCAGGAGGGAGAGTGTGGAGAGAACCATCTTGCCGTGTGGAGGGAAGAAGACTGATGATTTGGCGTACCGACGAATATTGGGAGTTGGAATGTGCCGTCAGTCTAATATATGCAGTTGGAGTGGATGGGTCAAATCAGGCAGAAGAGTAACATGCCCCCTGAGACAATAAACGAGTTGACGATTCTGGTCAGACCGCGCCACAGAATCCTTCGCCGTCACAGTCTTGGGTCTTTGGCTGGCTGGGCAGGATACTCAATTGTCTCTCAATGTGACCGCTCAAAGGTAAAACAACAGGCCCGCCGGCAGATAGCCATGCTTTTCTTGCCAATGTGCCATCTGATAAATGCCATGAGGGCGGGCATGCCGTGCGGCTCGAGGTTGCGGCAATGTCACTCCAAGCATGGACTAAGCCGCATGTAGGCCATCGTATCCGGGGGAGTAAGAAATGGGCTACGACCAGGATCCTCCCCGAACAAAATTCTCTTGTCCAACCCAATATTGGTGCCCCGTTGCAGGCCCATCGCATGACGGAGCTGGGATTAAGCTTAAGTGCTCATTGAGAGGTGCGGTGTGATTGGGCAACTCGTGCGTCTCCGCGTTCAACTTTGGCTGGAGATGGGGCGGCAGCTGGACTTGTTTTCCGATCGTGTTCAGCGGTGGATGCGTCGCTCTAGGCAGCCAAATAAGATCGAATGAGACGCCGGCTTTTGGCACGTTACACCGCAAAAGTGCTCCCACCCCTTGCATTGGCCGTAACGTAATAAATCGAATTCCGAAGCACAGTTATTGCTCAACACCGCGCCTTATGGAGTCGATATGGAATCGTTCTTCGCAGATTTTGCACGTAGAGTTGGGGATTTTCAGTCTCGCAAACCCCACAAATGAACGTGGCTGGGCTAGAGAGGCAGAAAGAAAGAGATGGTCATTTTGAACAAAATGGTATATTTCGTTGCGAGAGACAACTCTTTACGGTATCATAAAACGCCCCTAACGCCGTCATGGGCTACGCGAAGTCCCAATGACCTCAAGCATAGCACTGCCTGTGGTTATTTAGTACTCCATGGCTGAACCGACGGCCTCTTCGCGTGCTTTTCTGATGCTGTCGTTCTCGGCCTCCCTTTCCTCCTTGAGCTTTTCCTCGACGTCTTCCCTAAGACCGCCCAGATCGGGCGGGATAACCTGATACTGCACGCTTGGGGCTGCCTGGACAAACCTCAGCTGCTCCGTCACATGTTGAACGAGGTCGTTCAGTCGCTTTTGCGGGTTGCGGTTCGCGCGCGGCTCGCCCAAGATTTGCTCGAGGGTCGGGAAAAGCTCCTCATATCTGAACTGCTCTCTCCAAGGGGCGTGCGTCGGAATGATGGGATCGATCTTGTCCTGGCAGTCGATGGCGATACTCGTCTCAAAGGCCCACGCGCGGGCCACGTTTCTTGGCGTGTATCCGCCACCTCCAAAGAGGATCATGGGTACGTTGAACTTTTTGCAGAACTCGACACAGGCACCGTGTCCTTGCACCTGCAGATTGAAGCGACCCAAACGATCACCGGCGAGAGAGTCGGCACCGCATTGCAGAGCGATAGCGCTTGGTCGGAACTTTTCCATGCACTGGCCGATAACATTCTCAAAGAGCCACTTGTACTGCTCATCCGTGATTCCGTCATTGAGGGGCACATTGATGGCATGGTGGGCACCTGGGTTGTGCTCATTCTTCGGCCCGTTGTCGTCCAGACCGCCGGTGCCGGGGAAGAAGTTGAGAGGGTCGTATTTGTGAAACGAGACCGTCATGACACGGTCGGTGGAGTAGAAAGCCTCCTCGACGCCGTCTCCGTGGTGAACGTCAATGTCAATATAGAGAACGCGGGGATAGCAGCGTAGCAGCTGCAGGATGGCGAGGACGATGTCATTGATGTAGCAGAAGCCAGAGGCCTCGGCTTTCTTTGCATGGTGAAGACCGCCTCCCCAGGAAACGGCAATGTCAGACTGCTGGGCACAAATCTTCCGCGCGGCATCGAGGGAGCCGCCTGCTGACATGGAGCAGTAGTCGTACAGACCCTCGAAGAGGGGACAGTCGGAGCCGCCGAGGTTGAACTTGAGATCGGGGTTGGCGTTATCAACATCCCGCGGGACAGGCTCAGGGAGGACGGTGCCCAGAAAGTCCAGATAGTCGTCGGAGTGGAAATCGTTAAGCTCTTCGTAAGTAGCGGCGCGGGCAATGTAATTGTCCATGGCGAAGGACATGCCGTAGGAGTAGATGAGGCTTTTTGATAGGGTGAGGCGCCATGGCTTCATGGGATGGGTCTGCCCAAAGTGATGCTTCTCCATCTCGGGGTTGCAGTGGAAAGAGACGGTGTATCCCTTTGGGCGGGTGATGCCCGATTCGAGAGCGGTGCGCTTGCATTTGTTGAGATACCTGGCTTCATCGAGCTCGCTGGCCTTGCCCAGAGGTGTGTACTCCTCGACAATGTCGTCTTTGTCGGCCCGATGGGGAAGATAATTAGGCTTCGGTGCACGAAATCTGTAGGCGCTTGCGTCCATGATGAAGGTGAAGGTAACGGCTATACCGCCGAGGCTCCCGAGATTGGGCCCTGGTGTTGGCTGTGATGCTTCGCAATGCTCAAGACTGGCTGACCCTGGTGTGAAGGCGATGGAGATGACAAATTGACAAGGTGGGGAGGTTGCGCCGTGGGAGATCCGGGTAATGTCTTGTCTGAGAAGTGTGTGATTCTCTGAGAAAACGCATGTGTTGAAAAAGCTATGCTATAATTCCGTGATGTCGTTGTTTTTTTGCGATGCGAATGGGGGATTTCGTCGAAAGGCTGGATGAGTGCAGGTTCGATTGGATGAGATGTGACAGGCGTTTGGGACGAAGCCGCTACTGGCCACTAAGGCAGCTCGAGCCCAGCCGGAGGGCACCAAGGTCGAGTCGTAGTGGCTGGTGGCGTGCAGGGACCACCAAAGTTCGTGGTTGGACACACTCTACCCAGAGAGGCTAGCTGCTTTTGGGCACCAGCCTCAGTGTGGCTCAATCTCGAGGTTTCTGGTTCCTTCCGGATGCCCAAAGTGCGAGTTTTCCTCTCATGATTTTTGCATGCCACATGACAGTACCTAGAAATAGAGTACGCAGCCTGCTGTGTGTAATTGCACATGGCAACTCAGCAAGAACAGGATGTAGGCTCTTGCCCATTTCATGAGGTACGTGCCTTCAAAGGCACCACCGAGGACCCGCTAAAAACCTGCAATGCCCAATGGAACATGTCCACAGGCCCCGTGCCAGAGCCCAAAGGTGGCCTGGCAGTCGGAGGCTAAAACTCCCGTCTCCGCCAGTCTCGTCCCGTCTCAGCTTACTGGCTCAATGCCCTGGACTGGACTGGATGGGAGGAACGAGTTCGCAAACTTGCCCGCCGCCAAACCCAACGCGACACGCACCAGCCGATTTCCCTCACAGAAACCCAGAGCTGCCACCGCACCGCACCACACACCCGCGACTGGAACCACAAACGTGATTCCAGCCTCTTCCAACCCCACCCTCGCGCGTCGAAAAAAAATTCACGTCGCTTTCCCGGCAGGGACGTATTATTTAATAAAAACATTCCGGGATCACAGGCAGGGCCCGACCGTCGCCGCGACTCGCCTCGCTCCGCCTTGCCTTTGCCTTGCCTTGCCTTGCGTGTGATCTGGATTTGGTCTGGAGCCTCCGTCGACTGCCCGTCGGTCCAACCTC